TGCTGCCAATCGAATCACCGGTTTCGCCTCCACAGTCTTACTCGAAGCATTTTCGGCTTCTTCGGAAGCGGATGGCCTTCTGTGAGCTCTGTTTCCAGCACGATGTGTATCCTTCCGTGCTCATTCCTCGCCGGTCCCTTCAGTATGTGCACGTGACCTGAGGAGGGGAATGGGAGTGGGTGTTGGAGGCGTCTTGTTTCGACTGCAGTATAAGTGGATGGAGGAGGTTACCTGTGTTGTCGCTGGCCATGAGCTCCATCTGACCTGCTTCCTGGTTGAAGAACATGAAACCCATGTCACGGTGTCGGAATGCGCCTCCGGAGTAGGCTCGTGAACTGTGCACGTAAGGCAAATGGAAGTGAATCACTTGCACTCAACGTGTTGAAGGATGAGGCACAAAAGTCGGTAAAGCCAATCAGCACCAACATTGCCAACACCTGCCCAGTAAGCACAACACTGCTGGGGGAGGGGTGGGGCGAACTGGCATTGCAAACACCTCTACCTTCTGGTTCGCGGAAATGGGTTCGTCAATGTCTACCAACTCATTACCAAACAGGTAGGACTGCATGCGAGGTAACGGTTGAAATCCGAATTGTACTCATGACGCTATAATTGCACTGTCACAAGAATCACTATACGAGTCTCCATGACACGTGCTCGGAACAACTGACCACTTTAACCCACTGTTGAATTGGCAGATTAACTCACTCACTCACGGAGCTATGAGGCGTCATCGACGGCAACGAGTATGTGCACGCGCCCTCACCAATGCTAGTCTGTCAAGACCTCGCTAATCGAGGCACAACGTGATGTGTGTGCTAAATTTGTCGAGTGCGTCACCGTTGTCTCCAACCTCGTTCACGCCCGCTCTCACAGATGGTCCTGCACCTACCACTTAGCTTTCATGGCATTCATGAAAGAAAATGTGCAGTAATGCAGTGTAGTTGCACCCTTGAAGGGATACAAATTAGCGCCTCCACCGACACTGCCACATTTGACATCAGAGCGCATTGGAGGTGTGCTACAACCACGAGTTGGACAGGAAGTCGAGACAACAAATGGCTTACCTGTACCAGAATGACGGTTGTCCCACGTGGCCAATCGAGATGTTCTCGGAGCAGGGGTAGGTGGTTTGAGTGTAGAGGCTCATTGAGCCCTCTCCCTCCCATTCGCCAAGCAGCCTGGCAAACAGTTGCAGGGAGCTGTGGATGGCGCAGGTCGCTGTCATACAGGAGTTTCTTTAGTCAACTGTGATCATGCAGTACCATAAATCCGTGGGCTGTCCTCTAACAACCTACTGAGTCTGTTCGATGGCATGGTTGTCGCATGCGCCACTGTGGCAGCTTGAAAAGCTGCATTGTCACACTAAGACAAAAGTGACTTACGTAGCCAGTGACACAGCACTTAGATTGTGCATTTGGCGTTTCCGTAATGGCTTTCATGTTAGCAAGGAGTGTGGTGTGGACCTACAACACTTTGCGCTGCATCGACATTTTCGTTTGACAAGCACTAACACATCGTCCAAGCAAAAGTCTCAGCCTTAATAGTTGCATCCTCACAAGCCTCACTTTTGGACAAGGATTTGGTGTTGCATAAACCACTAGCCTAATGTCCTGCTGCTGAAATGTCTAAGACACAACGAGTCAATCTCAGCATGACACGTAGAAAAGCGGGCGCGCAAGTTGAATGCACACTGAGGACTTACGTTGAGGGTGGCTCATCGGCGGATGTGGTGATGAAGACTGGCTGCAGGGCCTCAAGTTATAGAATCGCCTGCGTATTATGATTGGATTACTGAGGCGGTGTCTCGGATGATGCCGTAAACATTGACGAAACCGATGACTTTGGCCAACGCCCACACAATTACCTCCAACCACCCAGTACTGCCAGCATCGGGTCGAGCTTGTGTCTCACTCTCCCAAATGGCAGTCCAATGAGGTTACTTTAAGCAGGTGAAATGCCGATGGTCAAGGGGAGTGTGACGCGTCTGAGGTGAGCATTTTGCGTCTCGACGCACACGGTTGCCAGCTTGCGCACCGCACATAGTCATTTGTAGCATGAAACATTGCGCGTGGTCAAGGCGAGCGGATACGTTCACTTTCGTGGGCGCTGCGCTTTGCACATATTGCACTCATGCCCACATTCCTGGCGTCTCCATTTCCTGTGGCCGAGCTGCCACTGGAATTCACTGACATTCCACACGGTCATGCAACAGGCGGCATTCCAGCCGTCCACTTGTGAGTTCAGACAATGCGTTAGTGCATGCTTACGCGTCAAAGTCATGAGACGCCTTGATTTATTGCCTTCACATTCACAAGCGGTGGTGATTTCCTGCGTAGGTTGCTGTGCGTTGCAGTATGTGAATGCCTTTTTGAGGAAAGGCGGTGTGGTTGCTCAGGTGAATCACATGCAAACACAAAAGTGTATGTGATTGGAGATATTCGTCTTCATATTCGCTTTTGATAGGTGACTGTGGCGAAGACGTCGATTATTTGTTGCCGGCTATCCCATCTATGCATACGGTGGTCGATTTGCCCACAGTGCCGATCGCGCGACATTGGCAAATCCATAAATAATGTGATGGATGTTGGGACTGCGCTTCAATGACGCCTCTTTGGTGGTAGTTGGGGCAAATCACCGTGCAATGTTACTGTGAAGTTGAGGTTCTCTCCCTTTCTGCGTCCTGTAATGGAGTGACGTCAACCTAACGCTGCATTCCAACATGTTACCGCTGCTACTTCTGCAGTTTGTGGAGTAGAGAACAGTGCGCAACATTTCAGGCCAACTTCGCTTCCTCCTACCTCATTCTGCCGCACAAAGTCTCCACATGCGAGGACACTTTTCATACCCCTCAATACACACTTCCTCCCTACACGCAGCTGCAGAATTTCCCCACCTACTGCAGTAGCAATGCGTTGGATGGCTAGAGGTCTGCACACTCACTTACTCTGTGACATTCCAACTCTCTCGTTTGGTATGTCGGTGTGTGTGTGTGTGGATATGGCAGGGAGCAACATATGTGTCGCTTCAATGGGCTGCAGTGAACTTGGTACTGCTCCAACTATACTAGCTGCCTGTCGCGAGTGTCGAG